TACATAGGCTTTTCCTTTATTGTCATTGGCTTTCTATTTGTTGTTGGCATTTTGTTTTTGTTTATTATTGTTGTTGGTGGTGGTGGTTTGTTGGCTTTGTCTTCCTTTATTGTGTTGTTTGGCTTTGCCTGGTTTTTGCGCTTATTATTGTCTCTGCATGTCTATCTAGATAAGATAGGCGGGATAAACAATCCGGAGATGTAAACAACAGGACTGATGGTTCTGGGGGGACATGGGAGAAGTGGAAGTGGGAAAAAAGGAAAGGGGAAGAGGTGTCAATCAACCCAGGGTCAAGGGAACAACAAGTGAACTAAAATCAATGGAGAGAAGGGCATAGGATGCCTAGTAGGGTTTAATTAAGAGCAATGTAACAGCAAGGAATTACTAAACCGGAATGAAGGCCAAACATAACAGTGGGATAAGAGGAAAGTGAAAGGAAATAGAGGAAAGAACTAGGAGGCAAAGGACATTTATAGAGGTCTAAATACAGACATGCACATATGTAAATGTATTTATATATAACAATAGGAAAATAGATCTATGTACTTATATCTAAATGTTGTTAAGTATTAAGGTAGCAGATGGACATTGGGCCTCGTCTCAAGTACTCCCTTAACACCAGAACAGTTTGTTCTAAAAACCCAGCATTGTGAGATGCTCACTTTCCCAACACAATCGCTGAAACCAAAATGAGTGCATAGCAAAGGTGATGAAGAAAGTTGATGGTGCCCAGCTATCAAAAGATATAGCATCTGGGGTCTTAAAGGCTTGAAGATAAACAAGCGGCCACTCTAGCTGAGAAGCAACAAAGACCACATGGAAGAAGCACACCAGTCTGTGTGATCATGAGGTGTTGATAGGATCAGGTATCAGGCATCAAAGACCCAGAACAAAAAATCATATCAATGTGAACAAGGGGGAGTGCAGAGTTGACATCCCATTACAGAAGGGTAACAAGGAAGAGACAAGCCAGTCAGGGTGTAGTATAGCACTGATGAAACACACAACTTTCCTCTGGTTCTTTAATGCTTCCTACCCCCCACTATCATGAACTCAATTCTACCTTACAAATCAGACTAGACTAGAACATGTACATGGGTACAGATAAGAGTCCACAACACAGGGAATTCAGGATAGATACACCCCTCAGGGCCAACAATGAGAATAGAGATACCAGGAGGATAAGGGGAAGGTGGGGGGACACAGGGGAATCGATCACAAGGATCAACATATAACCCCCTCCCAGGAGGACAAACAACAGAAAAGTGGGTGAAGTGACAGAGGGTGATGTATGATATGAAAATAATAATCTAGAACTTTATCAAGGGTTCATGAAGGAGGGAGGGAGGGAGGGCAAGGAAGGGGGAAAATGAGGAGCTGATAACAAGGGCGCAAGTAGAAAGAAAATGCTTTGAAAATGATGATGGCAACATATGTACAAATATGCTTGACACAAAGGATGAATGCACGGATTGTGATAAGAGATGTAAGAGCCCCCAATATAAATATTTAATAAAATAAATAAAATAATTTTTTTTTAAGTTAGGATCTTGAAAAGAACAGATACTAGATGACCCAGGTGGGTCCTATGAAGTTCTGACACATCCAACCATTTGCATGAACCTTACACTATACTAAATGAAATAGGTAAAATTTTTAAAAAAAACAATATTGTATATCTCACCTATATGAAATATCTATATTAGGTGTGTTAGGCTGAGTTGACTAGAGAAACAAATCCAGTGACACTCAAATATGTGTAGGAGAGAGTTTTATTATCAAGAACGTCAGACAGGGCAAGATATGACAAAATAACAATTTATAAATTATCAA